TTTTTTTTTAAACCTATATCTAAATCTAGTTAAGAAGCATAAGCGCTTAGAATATTAAAAATCTTAGTATCAACAACAATATAAAGGGTTATAATTTTATCTTCTATTAATTTTTATAACATTATCTTTCAAAATCTTATTTATAATTAAACCTACATCATTTCTAGTGTGACGACTATCTGAATATCAAAGTTTAAAACTTAAGTTATCAATTTCCTTAGTCTTTTCACTAACCCATTTAGTTTCTTGAATGTATAAGATATTTATTTTCCTATGAACCATAATATCAACTAATTTCATTATTTTACTTGTGAGAGTGTCTATATTCCAAGATCATATTATAATATTAGTTTCATAGACTAACTTATTTACCTGCATTCATTCATAACGTGGAAACTCTTGCTTACACTCGGGCGTAGGTGTAGCGGCCCTTGCAAATTTTTCACTATATTCAGAGCATACAACGTGTCGCTTCCAGGAGACGACCTAATATTTACAAAAAAATTTAAATGATTTATGTCATGCTTTTTCGACAAAATTTATGTTGATTGTCAACTACGTAATGCTTTGATCTCTCCTCACATCCCGAGCTTAGAACCTAACAATGGCAGTGTTAAAAATTCATCTACGTAATGCTTTGATCTCTCCTCACATCCCGAGCATAGAACCTAACAATGGCAGTGTTAAAAATTCATTAGGAAATTATGTAATGGACCTGTGTAGAGGTAAATTCGTAGGTACCCAAGTGATGTGGGAAGATTTGTGGGCTAACCATGGGTGGTTAAACTTTTATGGTCAGTGATAGGTAGTGACTAAGGGCCCGTTTGGGGCAGCTTAAAAGTGCGGCGGCGTTTTTAAAAACGCCGCCTTAATGTTTGTATTTCGCGTTTGACTCCAGTTTCACAAAACAGCATTTTTATGTTTGTATTACACGCGGACCGAGGGTATATCCCCGCGATCCGCGTTTGGCCTCCAGCCTTTTACTCAGCCTCACAACATTTTCCCCGCAGTCATAACCTTCCTTCAAACTTTTGGCGTCGATCCTGTCTTCGAAGTCGCTCCGCAAGTATGTAATCCCTTCTCCTAGCTCCACTCCTCCCTCCTTTCCCCCATTTTGCCGAAAGACATCTTGTTTTCAGACTATAAGGTGAATCTGGAAGTGTTTGATTCCTAAAAAACTAGATCCAGTTTTGGAGAAGCAAGTATTGCCGGTAAAAATGTAGATCCACTGTTATTGTGAAATGTTTGAAGCATCGAGAGGGTTTCCTTCTCCATTCCCCATCCCTAACCTTTCTTCGAAATGGCTAATGTTTAATTGTTATTTACCGAAATTTTTTAGCGATTGTTGTTCGTATGATGTTCATGCCAGGAAAAGATTTCTGAGGCTATTAAAAATTTTAGACATCTTGCTGTGCTTTTCACTCATATGCAAAGATCTAGAAGCAGTCTTCATTATTTGTAGTTCATATTCTATAAGATCGTTTTTTTGGGGTTTTCTTGCCCAGTAATGACAGTGATATCATTCAATTATCGAGATGTATGATAGTTGCAATTATCAAGAGGGTTCTATAAGCAGTCTTCATTATTTGCAGTTATCGAACAATATATTTTAAAGTGTACATGACATTGGGAATTATATCAAGTTAATATTCTATGCTCCCTAGAATTGATAGTTGGCATATACATTCTCTGTTTTGGATGGATTGTTAGTAGAAGGGCTGTATGTAAATATATGCACGATGGATAGTTGGCATATGTTTTATTCTTAATGTTCCCTTTACCATGTTTTATTTCGAAGCCCCCTATATGCCTAGAAAAATCTTTTTAGAGATATTTGAAGAGGGTACCATAAATGATTATTCTTAGCTTTAATATTATTCTCATATCTTAACTCCAATCAAGTTTAGAGGCTTGCATATCTATAGAGCTTTGTTGAACATGATATAATTGGATAGTTAGTGTTAGATCTTATTATTGCCCAATGGTGTGGGAAAAAATAATGTTACAAGTTATGCTCTCATCCTATATTCTTTTTTTTTTGTGATGGATAAATATCAAATATGCAACTTTATTGTGCAATGCTTCTTCCTTTAAATGTTTGTTTTGATTCATATGAAACTTGAACGGGTATTCTTTGCTACTAGTTAATGATTTTGAGACATCTGCTATCTTATACGAAACTTGATGTTATCATTTCATACTACTTGTGGTTCTGGAGCGTAGCGTATGGTTTCATTGACGATAAAAAGAAAAGATTTCATATATGATGGTTATATTAAAAACACATCTTTGTTTCACCAATATACTAATATATATTTTAATTCATAATCATTGTGCATTTTTTTTTAAATATGCAAATTTTATATCTTGACTAGCTCATTTTCAGTCATAAATGTCATCTATTAACTGTGAGTAGAGGATATTGAACTAAAACAGGATTTTAAACCTTGTTTTTTTCTTTTTTTCCATCTACCTCACAACAAGCTCATAATTTGGGTTTCTAAAGTCAAACTAATAACTGTGAGTAGAGTTATTTTAAGAAAATTAGGAGGGAGGGGTAGCTTTCAGTGTTGTGTGGTTTCTTTGTCAGTTATAGTAGTTTAATATGAGCTGGCTTATTATGTTAGCAAATAGTTATTTCTTTAAAAGTGAGGTTCAGGAGACTGTATTGATCTTGTATTCAAAACAATTGACACTTTATGATGGTTTAAATAATTACATCAACCATTGTGTCATTTATTTTTTGGATGATGGAATTGGGGGAAACTGCATATTGCTATCCTAATTCAACACAGCTGAAGTTGCATTTCAACATTTTCTACTTGAACAGGTTCATTACTATCGTGTGAGTTCGGTTCTCTGCAATGTATATGCTCACTGATTCCTTTCTCTATTTTATGAATGTCTGTTATAATATCATGCATTATTTTATGAATGTGCTGCTCTTCCAGTTTATGATGAAAGAGCAAATTACTAGGTGGTTTATTCAGAGGACAAAAAAGCTTGTATTATGTTATTGAGTTGTTTACATACATAGCACTCGAAGCATTGCGATGTATGGAGAAATTTTGAAGTTGATGGAATGATCATTTTAATACTGAGCATAAACCTGCTATTTGGAATTAATGGACATCTATACAAAACATACTTCTGTTAGATTTTTTTCCTTCTCTCGGTTTAATATGAGCTTTGAGCTCATTTTATGAGAATGAAATTTTTTGTATCTCTTGTAATTGAATTCTGTGAAGTCATGGCAAGTGATAAGATTGAGAAACAAGTTTTTATACTTTTTATGTCTATTACTTTAATTGATATAATAGTAGAGCACATTGGATGACCAAAGAACTTTGTTGCAAGCATTGCTTCCACAATTTGGTAAGTTAAGTTTTTTTATTCCCTTATAGTTTTTGACTGGTCTGTTTACTTTTATAATAATTGCAGGACAATGAGCTCGAGGTATTCAGGGAAGCCAGGGCAAGTGATGTGTCGATGCGGGCTCCCTTCATTGCTACTCACGTCACGACAGACACATAGCTACGGGCGACAATTCTATAGGTGCCCGCGATGGGGACAAAGACCAGAAGACTGTAAATTCTTCAGATAGGCCGACGGTGCAATTGTTTCTACGATGTCTCAATTCAACACAGCTGCTAGGCTTCTTGCAGGTATATTAATCTGCATCAGTCCTCTTTTTAGCGGTTTCCTTGAGTTTATTGGTCTATGATTTTTGCGTATTTGGATATTAAATTCGATTTTGAAATTTTAATCGCAAAGTCAAATACTCATACGCACTTGCTTTTAGTTAATTTTCTTCTTGTAATTTTAACATGTTTTTTTTTTTTTCTTTTTCTGGATCATATTATAATCCTATTTTCTTCTTGTAATTTTAACATGTTTTTTTTTTCTTTTTCTGAATCATATTATAATCTGTATTAGTGTGTGAATGTATGCTTCATTTTCGTATATGTCTCTGTGCTTATTTAATGTAATCGAAACTTTTTGAGTTATATAAATGTTATTCAACTCTTTTGCATTTTCATAAACATTTAAGAAAATAATAAATTCTGCGACACAGATTATTAATTTAACTAAAAAAATTTGCAAATAAGCTGTTTGACAAAAATACAAATCAAACAGATAAACAATTTATTCAGAACAGGGGCAGAATGTTCATTTTTCCAGAATCAGTTGTTTTTCATACGCACAAACCAAACAGTCAGACAGCTTATCTGGATCAGCTGTTCATCAGCAGATTATCAAAATAAGTTGTTTATCTGCAGAAGTTGGATAAGTTGCAGCTGCCCAAAACAGACCATAAGGCTTTGTTGTTGTTGTTGTGTCAATTCATTTCATGTAGCTAGGTCATGCCACCTCTATAGTTGTATGAAATGCCAAGCTAAATGCAGAATTTTGAGTTAACATGTTGCCAACTTAGTTTTTAGTTATGCCTGAACTGGAACTCGGGGCTCGGTACTCGATACTCGGTACTCAAAAGTCGGCACTGATTAGCTCAGCACCTAGTTACTCCATATTTAGTAGTCGGTAGTCAGCCCAAGAACGTACATTACATGTGTGCCCTTTCAACAAGCTGCTGCTAGAGAAAAGAAAATCGTCGCTTCCCCTACACTTTATCAAACTCAACCAAAAGAGAATCCCACTTTTTCCCATGATAACGCATCATTTTTTTGTTCATGGTATTTCGTGCACCACATATCACCTCTCAACCAACATAAAAGAATCTAATAATTACAAATGAGTCGGCTGAAACAAAATATGCATAAACACGCCAGGCACACGAATAATTCGAGCTGTTAAAGATGCCTCATTTAATTAAAAATATACAACTACCAATGAAATTAACAAGAGCTGAACAAAAGAGAACAGCTTTATAACAGCAAAAGCTGTAATGTAAATTACGAAGAATCAAAAATTAAAAAATGGAGAAATAAATTGATAACACCAGAACCTAGCCGAAAAGCCAAAAACAGAGAAAGTAGAACCTTGAGATAAGGATGGGATCGGAACTGCTGACCGCTTCCATGATTCACAAAAATGGAGGAGTTCGGCGCGGAGAGGAGAGGGGTAACGTCACCCCGGAGACTAGAAAGAGAGAGAGCAATCTCCATCTTCCCTGTTTCTTCTCTTCAAGGAAACGGGGGTTGAGTAAAAAAGAAGGGGGCGGAGGAGCACAAGCCCTCCCAGCTAACGCCGCCCCCGAAATTGCAGTGGCGGCGGTCAAAAGCTGAAGATCTGAGGAAGATCAGCCAAATGTTTGATGCATAGGGCTGCCTCGCTGTGTGATTTAAGAAGAGGGGCATTTACGTACATACCCCCCAATTCCTGCGTATTTAACGGTGCGTTATTCGTTTGTTTCTGTTTTCCAACCAGAGTTCTGAACCTGAATCGAGATATCACCCGTTTGAATGGCGTTACCGCTTTTATAAAAGTTATGTTTGGTATAATTGTATCTATTTGAAGGAAAAATCTAAAAATTTATGATGTCTATTATATTTTATTTTCAAAACTAAGACCCCTCTCTAGAAGTCACTATACTTAGGCGGCTTATGGTAAGAATTCAAAAAATTATATGGTGTGATCATAATCTCTGATTTGTTAAATTCGAATTGGATGTGGATTTAGGAAAATAGCTTCCTTCATGTATTAAGTTCTAAAAGTAAATGTGAAACATTTGTGTTGGATTTAATTGGATTTAACTTGAATAATATCAAACATAAATTTGAATTTAACATCACTCGATCTACTAAATTTAAATTTGTCAGATTTAATAAATCATACTTAACTTAAATTCAAGATGTGTTCGTCGAATCTCTTGAGACGAGCTACGATCTAAAATGGTGAAAATTTATCGTTCTTGCAAAAGAATTTTCCGGTACGTTCATTTTCCGCTATTTCACCAAATAAGAAATTCTACAATGGTCAACATTCGCTCTAACCGAACTGAAGTTCACCGTGTCCTCAACCGAAGCCTTAGGAAGTCTTATTACAAAACTCAACTTTCAGCTACAATTTTTTTTAAAAAGGCAAGCAAAACATTGTTTTGTCAAACAAAAAAAGTGTGATACAGCACCGCACTGTCGTCATTTCATTGCCCCAAATGCACACAAAATCTCAATTCAAAAGTAGTTGTAAAAAATCTACTATTTAAAACTTGATATATTGCAAAAGTTGTTGTTCGGTTTGAAAATTTTAATTTTAAAAATGTTGTCTATGGATAAATACCTAAAATATCGATCTGAAGTTTACCGTGTCCTTAAACGAAGCCTTAGGAAGTCTTATTACAAAACTCAACTTTTAGCTGCAATTTTTTTTAAAAAGGCAAGCAAAATATTGTTTTGTCAAAAAAAAAGTGTGGTGCAGCACAACACCGTCGCCATATCATTGTCTCAAATACACACGAAATCTCAATTCAAAAGTAGTTGTAAAAAATCTACTATTTAAAACCTGACATATCGCAAAAGTTGTTGTTCGGTTTGAAAATTTTAATTTTAAAAATGTTGTCTATGGATAAATACCTAAAATATCCATATGCTCATATTATATAGAATTTATAATTTTTTTAGATATATGTAATTTTTATATTTAATTGTATTATATAAGATATCCAAAAATATCAAAGTAAGCTCAAACTTAAATTATAGAATCAAGAACTGTAAGAATTAGTGAGGAAAAGATAAAGATCATTAAAAATAAAGTCATTTGCCCATCCAATAGACCTATGCGACCTAGTTTAGACTAGAACGTGCTTATTTGTACCTACATGATAACACAAATGAACACTAACCATGTTCACTATAATAAGTAATTACACAACCAAATGTTCATCCTACCAATTCCATGCAAAAAAAATGTTTAGAGGAATAAGCCAAGTAAATTGGCTATCCATAAACGAAAACCAAGCAAATTTTACTTATAAAACTACAATTTAAAAGTATTGCAATTATTTTCACATCTTACGGAACTCATATCAGTTTAACTGAAATCAAAGCAGTTAATATATAAAAAATTTATAAGCATATTAGTACTTCAATCATCCATCAGGTACATTAGAAAATACTCGCTCATACAATCAACCTTATATTATTAAAGCAATCATCAACTAAAGCACCGGTGATCTACTCTCACAACACAACCATCTCATCAACGCATTCTTCATCGCCTACGCAAGGGCAAGGGTTGACAATATCACATCAATTTTGATCATCGATTGCTCCAATTGATATTCCTATACTTCATAAGACACTGACTCGTTTTTATCTATATCTATAAACTCAACATCAAAATGTGAATGATAGCATTGTATTTGATTATGTTGTGTCATTGTTATAACGACAATTTTAACATTTCTTTTGAAAGAATAAGTAGGTATATCAAGTAAAATAACTCATTTTTTATTCTAAACTCCAAAAGCTCTCTCATTGACACCACGTAATGGTGAGTGGGATTTATTAAACATCTCTTTTTTTTCCCTCATAATTTGACTAGTCCTTTTAAATTCTAGAAAGTGATATTTTGTATTAGAAAAAGGCTTAAAAAATCTCCATTATAATTTATATCTAGTATCTAATAAATAATATTTTCTCATCAGAATAATCAACCATTAGTTACACTATTAAAAGTTAATATAATGCTTACTTGAGAGTCAAATAACATTGAGACGACAAGAGCGAGTTATGCAAATGGGATAATGTTGCAGAAATGAAATTTTGATTATTATGAGCATTGCCCTTCTAACCAGTCATGACAAAATTTAAACAAAAAAAAACATATTTTTAATTCAACCTTCTTGCTAGTACATCATCTCTTTTTTTTAGTAATGCAGTTCATAATTGTTCAAAATTTTTCTGCATAATTCAAATGAGTATAATGAATAATGTTTAATTAGGTATTGAGTCCCCTCAAGCACATTTTCAATTTGGGGAAAGCCTGTTACTTGACACCGGGTTCTAGGGCTGTCAATTTGGCTCGTTTTTCATGAACAGCTCGTGTTCGGCTCGTTCGTTAAGCCTAAACGAGTCGAACACAAATAAATTTTTAAGCTCGAAATGTAAACGAGCCGAACACGAACAACAGTTTGTTTGCTAGTGTTCTGCTCGAAATCGCTCAAAAAAAAATTATATAATTTTTTATGTAACAATATATTACATATATTATTTATATAATAATATATTATATATATTTATGTCTAAGTTTAAATCATAACACCTCATGTGACAATGTGGTTAGTGTCTTCTTTTGTATATATTTGTTCCAGATTCGAATCCCACACTTTACATATATTTTTCTCAATTTTAGTTTAACGAGCCAATTTTGAACACGAATATTTAAATCGAGCCGAACACGAACACACTGTTCACGAGCCGATTTCGAACACGAGCCGATTTCGAACACGAGTTATTTTGAACGAGCCGAATACGAGCCAAGCCTGAGCTCGCTCAAGCTCGGCTCGTTTACAGCTCTAACGGGTTCAATAGACATTGAATCCTTGGAAGTGGTTTATGAGGAGGTGGACACCGCATCAAGAAAGAGGCTTTGAAGTGATTGGAGGCTTCCTGAATAAAATGTGTTGTGGCAAAACCATCTTTCTATGCAAAAGTCAAATGGTAAGGAACTTGAGAAATACTCCTTCCTTAAGGCCCACTTTACCTACCATATATCAAATAAGTAGATAAGGATGAGGAGTTTGAATTTGCAGTGAGGACTTCTCGACCAAAGTCCTGCACTGGATGTGGTATACCAGTTTGATATGCTTAAAGGAACATTGTAATCATTAATTTGTAAAGCTATCAGTAAAAAGTTGAATTTGTCTCCATATTTGATAACTTATCAAGGTTTGTTGCATTGGTTTCTTCATTATTTACTTTATTAAGTCATGGGATCCTTTTTTTTTATTTACTTTATAATATTTTTTGTTGGACTAACCTGGATGCTTGCAATATGTTAAATAGCATGAGATAACAACCAAGTTAAATTAACAAATGAAGTCAGATGGACAAAACAAACAGAGTTTGAATTTGCAGTAAGGACTTCTCGACCAAAGTCCTGCACTGGATGTGGTATACCAGTTTGATATGCTTAAAGGGACATTGTAATCATTAATTTGTAAAGCTATCAGCAAAAAGTTGAATTTTTCTCCACATTTGATAACGTATCAAGGTCTGTTGCATTGGTTTCTTCATTATTCTTAGTCATGGGATCCTTTTTTTATTTACTTTATAATATTTTTATTTGAACTGACCTGGATGCTTGCAATATGTTAAATAGCATGGGATAACAACCAAGTTAAATTAACAAATTAAGTCAGTTGGACAAAACATCCTTTCAATGAAATGAATAAATAAATAACAGTTGAAGTGGAACAAGAAAGAGAATGGAAAAAAGTGTCAGGAGAAACTCATAAGACGTAGCTTAAATTAAACTGACCAATCAACTCATATTCCTTTAATTTACCAAAATTATCAAAACAAACACATACTCCTGATCAATCTAAGAAATGAGTTGGTCGACCATATCTATTACTAAAAATGAAAAAAAGAAACACTAGTACTCAAGGTCAATATAAAAAAATAGTTTGCATGCATGCTCTAAGCAATTTTTATTTGTCACAATGGGACATCTTGTTATTTCTTAACAATGAATTGAATCTAATTAGCAATCCAGTCATATGTCGCCTGTTTGTTCCTGACCCTATGAACCTCTGGACAATTGTGCAAAGTTTCAAATTTTCTGACTTAAAAAACTTTGGTCATTTCTACATAATGAAGCACTGATTATACATGGCCACCCTCTTTTTGAGCAAGTTAATATGACCCGTGTCCTTTTACTTGTTATAAACTTATATAACTCCAAAATTGTTTATAATGCTCTTGGATCATATAGATTGCTTGAATTTCATAGAGTCAGAGAAACAACCACAGCACCAATGGCACAATATTATATGAATTAATTTCAACCAAAGCATTATCAACACTTCAAAATTTGACTTGTGATTCTCTGACATGTGACTTTAATTTTTGTTGCAATTGAATCTTTTTGACTCTCTGGAACTTCTTCTACCATAATAACTATCTCAGCTCGTTCACAATCACCAATTAGTCTCACTATCTTCCCAAGTCATGGTTGAATGAGATGAGCTTTTATTCTTTAGGAGATGTGTCATAAATGTAGTATTATAACTCATAACTAGATCCTTGTAACCAAGGTCAAATCATCTCAATCTCCTTTAGTAGCTCATTAAAGTTATGCAAATCTTTGTCTATTAATTGTCTTTTGATGTCCCCTTTATATTTTCTTTGACTTGTGCTCTTCACATTACTCTAAAAGCCATAAAATTTAAAGGTGAGATGAATTCACTT